TATCTGTATCTATATTCTTCCACTACACATAGCAACAAGATAATGGGTTGTAAATGTTTGGGTATAACAATTCTTGTTCCATAAAAAATACAGTTGCTTTGTAGTGAGAATTCATGAAGCCTCTTAGGGTCACTTCTACCAGATTGTATATCTGGGTAGAGCTTTTGTAAGTCTGGGTCTTTTCTCGTAGCTTCTCTATTTTATTGTAGTGTAACTGGCATTTCTGAGATTTGATTTAAGTAAAATACATCATCATCTGTTAGTTTGTCATTTTCTGCCTCCATAGACTTATTTAATCTTGAAAAGTGGTCTGCATTTACATGTTCTGTTGTCTTCCTAAGTTTTATATCATAGTCAAATCCTGCTAAGAAGTTTGTGCAGTGCACAAGCCTAATTGCTGTGGTAGGTGGTGTAGCTCTTCCTAGATGTAAAATTCTAGACAAGGGTTGATTGTCAATAATCCACGTAATTTTTGTTCCATAGCAGTATTGGAAGAACTCCTTTAGTCCTCATATTAATGCTGCTGCTTCTTTATCAAGTTGGCTGTAACCTTTCTCAGATTTAGTTAGGGATTTTGATGCAAATGCTATGGGTCGTTCAGTCTTGTCTGGCATAATGTGTGATAACACGGCTTCAAATCGTTGACGCGTCTGTAGCAAGGGTAACAGGCAAGCTCTCATGAAATGGTATTAACACTTTTTCTCCACAAATTTTATCTTTTAACTCTTGGAAAATTTTCTCACATCTCATATAAGCTCTTTATCTTTCTGTAATAGGTTGTAAAGTGGATTTAACTTTGATGCTAGATTTGGAATGAACTGTTGATAATAATTGATCATCCCCAAAAAGATACATAGAGATGATACATCAGTAGGCCGTGGGCTATTCTTGATATCGTTAATCTTATCTTGAGTAGGTTGTAATCCCTTTTCATTAATATTATGTCCCAGGTAAGTTACTGACTTTTGGAGAAATTGACATTACTTTAAATTTAGATGTAGTCCACACTTCTGTAATTTCTCGCAAACTGTTCTGATTCTTTGTAACAATTGAATGTATCTTCTTCCCTGTAAAGCTATATCATCAAAAAAACAGGCTACACCATCTATTCCTTGTAGCGTTTGATCCATGTACCGCTGCCAAACATTTGGTGCTACTTTAACACCAAACATTAATCTATTCACTTTATAGGTACCCTTACATGTACTGATGGCTTGCATCTTTGCTGCTTCATCACTGGTTAACATATGCTTGATTAATATCAAGTGTACAGAAGTACTTTCCACCACACAATTTTGAAAAAATTACTTCTATTCTTGGAATAGGATAATTGTCATTTTCAAGATTTTTATTTAAAGTTGCTCTATAGTCAGCACATAAACGTACCTTGCAATTTTGTTTAATTACAGGGACTACAGGTGTACCCCATTGTAAGTGACTTTTTTTTTTCAAGAATGTCTGCTTTTTCCAATCTATCAATTTCTGCTTCTACTTGATTTTTCAATGCAAATGGTACAGGTCGTGGTTTCAAAAACATTAGTACTGCTCCCTCCTTTAGTTTAAATGATGCTCGAAAATTGTCAATTTTGACGATTTCTTCTGTAAATAATTCTTTATATTCTTCTAATAAATTGTGAAGCTTTACTCTAAATTCTTGATCTGTTATATCACTTTCTTCTTTATTTATAGAGATTCGAGATTCGATATAGAGATTCGAGAGAATTTATTTAGAGAGATTTCTTCTTTATTTATAGAGCTAGTTCTATTTGAATCTGTTTTTGCTCCTTGAAACAAACTGATTGTGTGTGCCCTTTTATTTTACATTTCCTGCAGTATAGTTTGTCTTTTATTCTACACTGGTTCGCTGTATGGTTATTTTTCCCACATCTAAAACACTTAACATTTTTATTTGTAACTTCTTGTGTATTCTTAGCAAATGTATTCTTTTTATACTTCTTTACTGAAATTTTATATATATTTGACTGTATTTCTTTAGTTTCAGATTTGGATGTTTCAATAGCTAATGCAATTCTCATAATATCATCAAACTTTGTGGTTGATGGTTCTTGGAGTAGTCTTTCCTTAATTTCAGCATTACGCAGCCCTCGAATGAATTGTACCCGGAGGTGAGTCTCAAAAGTAGACTGCTTGCAGTTGTTGCAGATAAAATTGCATTTTCCTCCAATCTCTTTCAACCCTGCCACATAGTTTGTAACTGATTCATACTCATTCAGTGTTCTGAGACAGAATTTGTGTTGCTGTGCCACTTCCCCAGGCTCCGGCGCTATATGATTGCCTAGGATTTTTACTAATTCATGTTTACTTGGTGCCATAATGTTTTTTAAGACATTGGTAGTATTTCGGACCAATGCTATTTAAAAATATATGTAATTTTGTAGTGACGTCTGTAACTCCCTTTAAAGTGACGTAATTATGTAATCTTTGTAAATAACTCGAAAAGCTTTCATTTATTTCATAATATGGTTGTAAATTTATGCCACTAACTGGCTTGGTACCTTGCTCAAGTAATGCTTTTTGTAAATTAGCTTGCTGTGTTTGCATACCTCGCATTGTTTCCATCATTTGCGTCAGTACTGCAGTTATTTGTTGTTCAATTGTGGATTTTTATGATGGGAAAATGGAATTGCGTGAAGCGGGTTATCATCACAGGATATGGAACCCCTGGATAGAAGGAAAAAAGTAGGTGGGTGCACGTGGCTTTTTTTTTCACAAGAATGAGGTTAAATAGGCGAGGCACACTTTTAATATATCACTTTGTAGTTTGCGTAGATTCAGTCACGTATCTCGTCGCGACTATTGTGTTTGTGAAATATATTTGTAATGATTACACTTAATACGGCACTTAATTATTTAATTGAACTTAATTTACTTATTAGTATGAAAAACAAGGTTAGTACGCAATGGGAGTAAAATGGAATGTATAGCACAGATGAGCATAGATAACAGAACATGAGTCTTCCTTTTGTCGCGTCATAGACATGCGCTTTATGTTTACTGTTTATGGTCAATTGCTCAATGTCTAACAAATTGAACAGGAAAAAACAATCATTCATGTCCATGACAAAGCCGCAGCATTAGAAACAAAAATACTGAACACTGAATTTGAAAAAACTTAAAACCATTTTTATACCCCTGAAAGACATTTACTTAGGAGGCAATGTTGCTGCTTTCATTATAAAGAACAGGAACAAACTTTATCCAGATCAAATAAGACATTTAAGACAAAAATATCTTAAATTTTTAATTGAGTCTGAATCAAATCCAAAATCGCTTCCCCTTTGAAGATGAGCACAAAGGCTGAAGAATTTAAGGTTCTGTTTCTGTTCGCTCGACAGTGGTACAAATGTGACTAACACAACGCCCTCCGCCCGCTCGACAAGGATACACATTAGTACCACTCATAATTTAGAGGGCTAACCCGACAAAAAAAGGTTTGTCATTAAAAATTATAACAAATTTGAACACTTGAGAAGAATTCATTGCATCATTGTACATAAGCCGAACCAAAGTTCCGAAAGAACCGAAAGAAAACAGTGGTTCTTCAACAGTAAGTGGGCCCGCTGAAAAAAAAACTTAAGCAAATAGCTTTGTCTTCCACCTTAGTAATAAAAGTACTGAACCAGCAACAAAGAAAGAATATTGACACTGCAGTTTTGTAAATGATTGTCTAGATTAACTTTATTAAAACCTTACAAAAAGAAATATGTAGTAGTTATACAAACTGTATTTATTTGTATTTAGCCAAACAGAAAAGTGTTTACTCCAACTATATTACTTAATCACTACAAACTAGCACGTCTAAGAGATATTTTAAATGATGTCGTTTATTCCGTTGCTACAGATATATGGACATCTGATCCTAATAAATCATACATCACTGTCACTTGCCACCGTGTCTATAATTACGAATTATAGTCTTTCGTTCTTGCGACTAGAGAACTCCCGAGCCCGCATACTGGTGAACACATAATGGACACATTACAACATATTTTTGAAGAATTTAACATCCTACAGGAAATAGTAACAATAGACTCGGACAATGCACAGAATATGAAGAAGGCAATTAATCAGCAGTTGCAAAGACAATATCATCCCTGCATTGCACATACCCTCAACTTAGGTTAGAAAGAGACAATTAATGGAAACAAAGACCTTCAAATTATTGTTCGAAAATGCAGGAAGATTGTTGGTCACTTTCGTCACAGAGCCAGAAGTTCAGAAATTTTAGTAGAAAAACAAAACAGAACTACTGACACTGACATCTAATCCAGATGCAGCAAAACCAACATCCATAGGGGACTATTTTGAGCAAAAAAAGGCCAATTATCCTGCAAGTACAAGTACTATGGAGAATAACTTGAGACAATTCCTAGAATTGCAGTTGCTTGACAGAAAGAGCAATCCTTTCGTATATTGGAGAAATATGAAAACGGGTAACCCTGAATTATATCAACTACATTTGAAGTACTCATGTATACCAGTCACTTCGGTACCCTCTGAGAGAATTTTCTCGAAAACCGGTATGATGACTAATTTGAGAAGGAACCCAATATAACTTGACTATGTAACATTTTTGAATGCTAATTGGAAACTGCTTGCAAAAGAATTAACGTAGTTTCTTTTTGTCTTCTTGTTGATTGGACTCGTATTTTATTTTCAATTGTTTTACTAAAATACTTTCTAACGTAAAGATAGAGAGCAACGCCAGGAGTAATCTAGCCTATATTTTATTCAAGAGACTAGGGAGTTTTTATAAGATTATCTTACTTAAGATGATCTAATAACACTACATTAATAGATTCTAATATTATACTATCATTATGATAGTACTAATAAGATATAAACGTGATGAAATTAATTTTATTGATTTTATTCATTGTGAAGTGTTTTATTTGTATTCACTGGAGTGTAGTGTTTGCATTACATAATTAAAAATAAAATAAACCAAATGCTTATGCCACTTTAAAGTTAAAAAGTACTTACATCTTGATGCCTTCAACAAGCAAGGAAGCCCAGGGCTGATGCATTGAGAGGCAGCGACCGGTGTCGCTCATCTCCTGCAGCTCTGCATCCTGCACACGGCTAAGCAGCGAGTTTCCTATTCCTTTGACCACTGAAGAGTAGCCATGTCTCTCAACTGATTCATCAAACTGAAATTTATAAATGCTATGTATTTTCAAATTTCACAATTGTGGTCATTTTGGCCCAGTAAAAGCTATATCTCACTAAATAAATTCTGTATCCACAACTTGTCGTCGCCACTGGTGATAAATAGTTGGATCTTTTCTCGCTCACAGGCTATAGCCATTAATTAACCAAACCTCCAGCATTCTTCATACTAATACTGACATGGGAGTAAAATTGTATTATAATTTATGATTTCGGTTTTTTATTCCTATAGATATTGTACATTGTCATGTTAATAAACTTGTCACTAATAAAATAAGTCTGTGAAAATCCACTGTTAATAAACATAAATCTGTCCCATTGTAGACAGCTTGACTTTTCTAGTACTATCAGACGTCACACACATTTGACGCTACTGCCTCTAATGTATGTACTCCTGCTAATGTAACAATATGATATACTGCATATCCTATATCCACTGTCTAATGTAATCCTCTTTAAACTAATAAATTATTTTTATACTGAACTAAACACGTGAATTAATATTAAAAATACACACCAATGAATAAAATTGATGATTTTAATAAGTTTTATGTGTCGCTGGCATACAAAATTAAAAATATATCTTTGTTTATCGCACGGACCTCCCGTAGGGGCCTCGAGGCTCGGGATCTTAGAAAAACATACTCGCAACGCTTGCAACGCAAGAGAGATTAAGGTTTGCAATGTGTTTTTTACGACTAACATTAAATAGTCATCATCCATGGAAAGCCATAAAGATTTCTTATTTCTTATAATCACCTCTTTTGACAACCAAGGGAGGACGAAATGGATTATCTGGTGGCACCGCCATATTGTGTAAAAGCAGACATGCCCCTTTAAATAGATCACTATTTTGAGTATAATAACAATAATAATGTGTATGAATAAAGGAATATATACATTTATAATCATAAAATATATATCATAATAGATCTACTGTTATTGTATTTTTTTATTATCGAAACGCAGAAGCGTTGTTGCCCCCGAAGACATGATGAGTTGATGATGAAGAATGCCTCGTTTTCAGTAAAAAGGGTCTCTATTTTCCTACACTTGCCACACGAAAAACGACAGCGAAAGACACACCTCCGTCGACGATACTGTTACGAGCTTGAGGTTCGTGACAATAAAAATTGCCGATAGGATTACCAAAATTAACACTTTAATTTTCTTTACACAAATTAAAACGTCGACTAAGGCGCGTAACAATACGACACGAGACGAAACACGCCTCTAAATGAGACATCCTCATGTTCAGGTGAAGTAGACTCTGCGATGACTGACCTCTAAGCAACTTTGCTCTTGGTGTTGCTGGTATTATCATTACTATAAACTAGGTAAGACACATCATTTTAAAGTTAAAGTTACATAGTTAAAGTTTAACTAAACTAAAAAAAGAATTTAAAAAGAAAGTACGGCATTATATAAACTAAAACCACACTTATATTAAAAAATGTCTCTTATTTCAGTGTGTCTTTTGACAAAGGCCTCCTCCAACTCTTTCCACTTTCTTCCGTCTGCCGCCACTCTTATCCATAGGGGTCCTAAGATCAATTTTAAAACATCCTCCCATCTTCTTGCTTTACGGCCTCGGCTCTTAGTGCTGTCATGTATCATCATCATTACAGCCTATCAAAAGTCCGATGCTAAACATAGGTCTCTCTCAATGATTGCCTCATAGGGAGATATTCGCCCTAGTTCCTACACTTGGCAGGCTGGTTGGCAAACGCAGCTTTCGTTTTTATTATATGTTGTTATCGGTAACATTCCGCTGCCCATCTCCTATTTCATTTCCTTCTATCGCCTCTAGCAACACCCTCGGGATGATATTGTGATAGGTAGTGGTGTTTTTACATTTATAATACTAAACGGCAAACCGGCAACAGTGTATAAAACAATGTGTTTCAACAAAATTATACTCCGTTCATATTTCTTTAATTAATATTAATTTATATAATATTTTTTCTTAAAAATGTTATTAATATTATTGAAAAGACTTTTTCGTTAGAAGAGAGTTTATGAAATTAATCACAATATTTAAAAAAACTATTTGTTTACAATAATTGTGGTGTACCTGCAGAAGCGGAGCGTTAACGCCGGGTGCAACATCCCGATCAGTGGAGGTGTCGGACAACAGGTCATGACTCAGGAACCGTCCGCTTGCGTTGGTTCTGTTTCCACCTGTCATCTGGCTTACTTTCTCCTCATCCACCTCGTGATCTATTGTTTTGTCTTCTATCACCTGACGACCTGGAACACAATTGCATGGCAAACTTTGTAAATCATTTTTTTTTAGTTATTGAATAATATAGGTCCTATCAAATAAATTACAAGCAGTTTACTTTTTTAATTTAATGTTTATCTAACGCCGGTAAAATATTTCTTTCATTACTATACGCGATTTTCGATTAACAATTATTTAAAAATATATAACATATAATAAACAAAATAATTGAAATACAAACAGAAACATGGAAAGATTAAGATCTGACAGGTGCTCTTACATACTGAATCAATCTCTGAGACAAGTCTACTCTGAAGAATCAACATCCTTCTACCACAATTAGGAATGCAGGTTATTAAATATGTCAGCCACACACTAAAAAAGAAGAAAAATATTATATACAGCACCAGCGAAGTCAAAAGTCATCTTCTTGTTTAATCTTGAAGCATGCTTCTTCTCATGCAGCGACTGCTGGTACTTCTGCAGTTTCTCCCTCTCGCTGGCGCTGAGCCACACGCTACCCGCACTGAAGTAATCACTATCATCGTCCGTCACGCGTGTACGACGTTCGCTGAAACATTTAAGTAGGTATTATAGACTCGCCATGCAGTGGCGACGTAACAGAATCCACTATCCTCCAGTGGGTGTCTTAACTGAAACAGGGGATTAGCAGCAGCATTTTCCTAATAATTTAAAATAATATGTCAAATATCCCTACTGAAGTAATCAAAATAGGGGAGCCTTACATTAAGCAGTTAGGCTGTAATTTTGATGAGGCTTTTTAGGGATAATGAAACCTCATGAAACATTGTTTATCATGTTCAGCACATATCAAAATAATATTTTTAAATATACTCACAGTTAATCTCCATCTTTAAGTAAATTGCGCTGGGGAGCATGTCCCCTTAGTGTTCTATAATTTGGTGTATTCAACCATAAAAAAAATTCTAATCCTGTCTAGAAAGCGGTACTTCAACAGGGTAAGAGCAGAGCTCCCTGGAGCCTATTCTGAAAAAATTTTAGCTAACCATGTAGAATGTACAAGCCTATGAGTTTTTTTAATTAATTTTAAACTCACCTAGTACGGTCATACTCTAACAACCTGTTCCTATGTGAAATGGCAGCCTCCCATCCTTTAGGCCTGCTTCTCTCCATCAAAGACTCCATCAGCTTAGCACTTGCCTTAGTTTTTGCATTGATTTCTTTTTGCTCTTCCGGTGTACACACCTAGAAATATACATATTTGGCCTTACTTATAATTGTTGGTAATCACTGACAACTAAGACTTAATTATCTATGTATCACCACTCAATGACAATAGAAAGACACATATGTCTTTCCATTTACAGTTTGTGTTTGAATTATTGTTGATTTTGTTTGTTAATATTTTTGAATTTAATACAGAAATATTAACAAAGAAAATCAACAATAATTATGAAAAAACTCTCAGAACGCGTCACAACTTCATAAGTCACAAATTAACAAAACCGAAGTATTTTTTTTTTGTAGTTTATGGCATTTTGTTATCATTGATTCCAATGACAAGATGGAGTGAAGTTATAGAAAGTACGAGAAACGCTTTACCGGCTGGTGTGAGTATAGATGGCGATAGTGTGCGAGCGGAGGCGAATAGAAGCGACGCCATTTTCAATGCCGTTCTTTTAAGGGAAATAGTCCTCCAGACCGAATTTCGGCCACGGCAGCCTGCCTCAACGGCGGCTAGCCATTAGCGCAGGACAGGATTATAGTGCCAAGCAAGCACAGGTGCACTCTCTATTCACTCACTCTCATAATCCGATGGGACGGTAAACCGACACGACCGGAGAGAGATTAGGCGCAGGACCAACGGCTTTACGTGCTTTCCGAGGCACGGGGGTGAGACACCGCCAACTTCCTGATTCCGGGCAGCTAATGAGACATTCTTGACAGGAAAACTCAATAACCGATTTTTTGGCCTGGCCCGGGATTCGAAACCAGGATCTCATGAACAGCAGTCGCACTACTACAACCACTAGACCAACGAGGCAGTCAGAGTTAAGGCGAAATAGTATAGTGGTCACGTGGTCATTGTAGAATTGTATTGTAGGGGGTCATTGTAGAAGCGTGCTCGTCGCGACCCCTGCCAACCCTTTTCAGGGCTGCAATTCTACACAGCTGCGCACCCATGCAAACGAGAGTTAGGGCGTCCCCCCAAGGTAACGCACACCAGCTCGTCCCCGTTGGTGTGGAATGCAGCGCGCAAAGCGGCGATGGGGACCGCCACCCGTCACGCACAGCCCGACACGGCGGAAGGTGGAGGACGGAGTGCAGAGTTGGCACGTGGAATGTTAGAGGGGGCATGAGAGATAAGACGAATGAGTTGATCGAAATAATGAAAGAAACAGAATTAGATGTCGTGTGTATGTCGGAGACCAAACGGAAAGGCAGTGGTACTGAAGAGCTCCCTGGCGGGACGTTAGCTATATGGTCCGGAGTCCCGGAAAGCGAGAACGCCTGCCAGGGAGTGGGGTTATTAGTTAGTTATTAAGTTATTCCTTTTGGCTGTTTATGCGCCGGTAGCTTCGTCGTCCAGGGCTGAGCTGGAGGAGTTTTGGGAGAATGTAAGAGAAGTTCTAGATTTGGTTAAGGGAAACGAAAGAACTGTTGTATGTGGTGATTTGAATGGATGGGTAGGTATCGCTCGACCAGGATACGAGTCGGTGCTTGGAAATTTTGGCGATAAAAGCGTTAATGATGCTGGCAACCTTATACTGGCTGTATGCAAGGAAAAGGGTCTTCTTGTGACAAACACTATGTTTAATCACAGGAAAATTCATATGTACACTAGAGAAAGAAAGAATGAGAGAAGTATGATTGATTTGTTCCTGGTGGATGACCGACTGCGAAAACAGGTGATGGATACAAGAGTGTTCAGGGGTGCTGACCTGGGAACGGATCACTATCTAGTAATTACTAGATTTAGGGGTTTGTTCGCGGGTTGGCGCTACCGGACGACAGTAACAGAACCACAGTCGGTCTGTCGCATCCGAAGCTGGAAGCTTCAGGAAGCGGATACTAAGGACAAATATCACACGAGGGTAGCCGAAAAGCTTGACACCATCGATGGCAGGAAAGAATGTGTGGAGAGAACATGGCAGAACCTTAGGGTTGGAATGGTAAGTGCAGCGGAAGAAGTATGTGGAACGACAAAAAGAGGTAGTAGTAAAAGAAGAGATGCATAGTGGAATGATGAAGTGAGAGATGCTGTAAAAAAGAAGAAAAAAGCATGGTTAGACTACTTGGCCTCTAGTAACAATAAGCATATGAGAGAGAAGATGAAAGAAAGATATAAGCTGCAGAAAGTTCATGCATGCATGCATGAAAGTTCAAAACATTGATTGAGGAAGTATGTGAAAGGTGTAGAATAGAAGCGGACGAGAGGTTGTCGCACAACTTTAAGGAAAACTCCAAACTCTTCTGGAAAGAGGTTGGAAGGTCCCGGAGTGGTGCGACAGCCTTAAGAATGAACAAAGTGCTTTCGAGAACCAATGACGTTCTCTCAAAAATCGGACGTCATGCAGCGATGGAGTGAATTTTATAGAGAAATGTATGCGTGTCATGATCTTAGTGAAGGATCCGGGGGTGACGCCATGACTGGCACGCCAGACACGGATCTCGATGACACTGAGGTCAACAGCATGAAAGAGATTGAATGTGCGATTCGAAGTTTGAAATGTGGTAAGGCTGCGGGACTAGACAGAGTTACTGCTGAAATGGTCAAGTACGGTGGGCCTCGCGTCTGGGACAGCTTTCGTCTGCTGTGCAATTTGTGCTGGCGGACGGGAGATGTCCCGGATGATTGGCGATCCGCGGTCATTGTGCCTTTATATAAAGGTAAAGGTTCACATTTTGACTGCGGGTGCTATCGGGCGATCAGCTTGACCAGTTTAGCAAGTAAAGTTTACTCGAAGGTTTTGACACATAGGATGCAAGAGAAATCGGAAAGATTCTTATGGGAGGCATAATGCGGATTTAAACCTGGAAGAGGATGCACGGATCAAATGTTTTCTCTCCGCATGATCACGGAAAAGCTTCTGAGTGTTAACCATAGGATTTTCTGTGCTTTTGTGGATCTGGAGAAAGCATTTGATAAGGTTATAAGGAAGAAAATGTGGGAACTGTTGCCGGGATATGGTGTGGATGGTAGATTGTTAAGGGCTGTGCAGTCACTTTACTATGACTGTAAAGCCTGTGTGCGGGTAGGGCATGACCTGTCACCCATGTTTAGCGTCCAAGCGGGCGTAAAACAGGGTTGTGTCATGTCTTCCTGGCTGTTCATACTGTATCTCGACAGCTGTTTACAGAAGCCGAAATCTGATGATGCAGTGCTTATTGCACCATCAGAAGCAGAACTGCAGGCATTAGTCACGTGTATGAAAGAGGAATGTGAAATTAAAGGTCTCCGTTTGAATGCTAATAAAACTAAGGTTCTGGTATTTGAAAAGGACGAAGAGAGAACGAAATGCGAAATATGGGTAAATCAGGAATGTCTAGAACAGGTAAATGAAATTGTATACTTGGGGAGTGCTTTCAGCCGGGATGGAAGATGTGATTTAGATGTGGATAGGCGTGTCGCTGCCGGAAACAAAGTCAATGGTGCCCTGAATGCATTAGTGGTGAAGAGTGCACGCCTTGCAATACATAACGCAGTGTTGGTACCGACTTTGTTATATGGCAGCGAAACCTGGGTATGCCAGAAGAAGCATAAAAGCAAGTTGAATGCAGTGGAGATGCGATCTCTTCGTAAAATGTGTAACGCCACCATAGCCGATCGAAAGCGAAACGAAGAGATGCGCAATATGGCAGGATTGAAAGATGACCTTATCACAAAAATTGATAGGGGTGTACTCCAATGGTTTGGGCACGTTGAGCGAATGAGTGAAGACCGAATGGTGAAGAAAATATATAGAGCGAAAGTAAATATTAAAAGGTGTCGAGGTAGACCGAGACTAACTTTCGAAGACCATGTGAGCAAATTGCTCGAAGAGGGGAAGGTCAAGAGTACTCTGATACCTAGACGTGCATGTATGAAGAAGTTAATGAACCTGAAAGAAGCGAAAGAGGTATGGGAGGCTACCCCGTTAGGGATTGTGCGTGAAGATAAGTAAGTAAGTAAGGTCACGTGGTTTAAGGGGGTGAAGCAGATACGGCGGGCGAACAACGCGCGGGGCCCCTCGCGTAGCCGGATGGCTCGCTGCTAGCAATCACATGATTAGACATATAAAAAACAGAATGTTATTTATATATTGTTTATATGACAACATATAAAAAACAGAAGTATTGTCAGTCCTGACAACTAAGTTGGAAAGGTCTTGTTCTCACTGAAAAAGTGATCATATTACTGATCACATGAAACACAGGAACATTGGCATGCTTTTTCTGGCATTCGATGCAAATGTATTTCATTCCCCAGTCAAACCGACCCATTCGATCTGCAGGCATAACAGGCTGCAGCATCCAAAATTTTGGATATAGCAAGCAAAAAATAAGAAATCCATTTTTTTATTCTAGTGTAAACCAAATTGTGAAAGAATTTCAACTGGAATTGACAACACATCTTTGCTTTCGTGAGTGTTCTATTACAAACACAATAGAATACTCACAAGATTCCCGCAAAACAAGCACGGCCCCGAGCCCTCTTGTTTGCAAACTACACGCCCACACTGCAGACAATTGTTGATTAGCTCGTGCTTCGATGCTTGGCAATCGCAATGATGTCTACCTGAAAAAATAAAGAAAAATATCATACACTCAAATTCACACAACATAAGCGCATATTGTTACTTCTTGTTTTTGGTAAAATCCTCTCAAATCAAAGGAGGCCTGTGAAGTGGAATGTATGGAGACTTTAAAATTAAAGCAAAGTTACAGCCTATATACGTCCCACTGCTGGGCACAGGCCTCCTCTCATTTCTGAAAGTTGTTTAGGGCAGGGTTTTCTCAGACATGCAGGTTTCCTCACGATGTTTTCCTTCACCGCCGAGCATGTGGTAAATCAGCACTTAAAATTACAATTAAGAATGTCATTGGTGCCGGGCGGGGATCGAACCCGGTTTGCTCGCGTATTGTGAAATTTACAGCGAGCGCTAACCATCTGAGCTACCACGGCTCACATGGAGACTTTACATAAGTACATTTGTCAATTATTGGGAATTTTTCATTTTAATAAGAAAATTTTGCACATTTTCCCTTACACCCCAAATTTTTATAATGTTAGTTATTAGTATTTCCTACTAAAAATATACTTCCAGACTTCATAAAGGAATGTTACTTTAGACGCATCTCTTATTTTTAACTAAGTAAAATAAAAGTAAGCTCAGTGTCAAGTTCGGTGTGAGTAACGGATCTGGCATTTTGAATGGTATTTTCTATTTTTTCTATCATTTAAATACCATAAAATAATTCAGAAAACATCAATATGTTAGAGTCATGATTTATAATTGCCTGTGCTTAATCAACTTGTAACTAAATAAATAATTATTAAAAAAGATATAAACAGACTTACAGGTATTATCAGATATAAAATAATTGAAATATGTACCAACTATAATTTATACTTGTCTATCACTTGGTGCAACTTCATCTTCATTTTTAAAATTTGAATTGACACATGTATTTGTAGCACTAATATTTTCTATAAACTACGATTCGCCTTAATGAAAAACTAACAAATAAACATTTATAGTTTTAAAGAGGTAAAATCAATGAGTACAACGCGTCCAACACCCCTATACAACTCTACACTTCCCTGGAATGCGAGCTCTCCCGCCTTGTCTCGTGCGCTGATTAACGGTATTTAATCTTTTTACCTATTTTGTTATCTTTTATTTATTATTACAATACAAATTGCACCTATGAATGTTAAAGCAAAACTAACAAAAAATTAACTAACAAAATTATGCAAATAACCGAGCAAGGACAAAGCTGATATTCAGTTGCTGAATGGTGGGTGGTGAAGAATTAGCCAAATAAGCTAAATAATTATTTAGCTTTAGTCATGTTTTAAACAAAAAAACTGATGAGATACTGCAAGATATATTTTTCTTTAATCCTTAATATGCAGTGTTTAGTTCGCGATATGGAGCGCAGGAGACTAGTGAAACACTTGACGATTGTCAACCTACTGCTTTAATTGCAAGCAATATTATTGAGCGCGGACGCAGCCGCGTACATACACAACATTCCTCCCCCTGTAGTGAGGGTGTATAACATAACACCCACCCAGACATCTGTGCCTTACATTATATAAAACTTACATACTAAAAAAACTTTTTGTAATTGACTTTGGGGCGATTTCGTTTTAATGGCGCTTGATATTCTTGTGCCGATGGTACCATCTCCTTGTCTTCATCATCAGACGATTGTGGACGCCGAACTCCTCTAGTTACTGTAATATGAGAGGATGATAGTGATTGATGGCAAGAGTCATTGCAAAGCGTCAAGTTCTCCGTAAGGGTCTCGGTTGCAGGCGGAGGTATTAATATTTTGTCCTCGTGTCCATCCCCCTCCCTCAGATCGCGAACTTGCTTGTGAGATTGCGAGTCTGGCGGTAATATAGGTAACGATGGCGCAGTTGTCAAAACTGAACTACCTGAGGTGTCAGGGCTAAGAATATTGTTGCGCGCCTAAGTTGACGTCAGGTACCTGGCACTAGCGTCATCTAGTGTCGGAGACCAGAGCGAGGAGGGCTTCCTAGAAAATGTCAATCTTGACTTTCAACCAACAGCGCCATCTAGTATCGAACAGAAGAATTAAGCTTTCTAGAAGCCCCACACTCGAACTTTCTGCGTCTGGTCGGTCGGCGCCCGTATCTTCTGGAATATTCTGGATGTTTCGGTGTAAAAAGTGTATTTAAAGCCGCTGCATGCCGCGATCGGGGCAGTATTAAATTTGGCGAGACAAGCGAAGCTTCGGAGCGAAATAAAGTGAATCAGTGTGATTAATTATTTAAGTTTTAATTGGTGTTCGGTAATAAGTGTAAATTTTGGTAATTCAATCGGCAGTTTTTATTGTCACGAACCCTAAGCTCGTAACAATATCAAGCTCCCAGGATCTACTTTTCCTATTAATGGTGCCTTTGTTTAAAATTATTTGATTTACATGTTTTTTTACAACAGTATTTAACAATGGGTCTCGGATTAAGTATATCACTTTACCAAGTTTTTGTATAATAACGCCTTGATGCCATTTCAACTTATTATTTTTTATATAAAACATTTTGTCCAGGTAAAAACATTTTTTTGTTTTCCACCATGTGACTTAACCTGTAAACACCGTTTTGATCGGACTGCTTTAGCGAGTGAGGAAGACAGGGGCGGCGATGGTGCTGGCTTCAATATATCTAACCGGGATCTTAATTTGCGACTAAAAACTATTTGTGCAGGAGATAAACCAGTCATAGAATGGTCCGAATTACGGTAGTCGAAAATGTATTTTAAGAGATTTAAATTGCATTCTCTAAGATTATTGCTGCGAGCTTCGGCTTTAGTTTTAACAATACCCATGTGTTATGTATGCTGCTCCGATATCACTCTATCACGTAACGATCCAGGGATAACTATTTTATGACCACGTATAAGGCAACCATTTTCATATGAAAGATCTAATTTACACAAACTATAAGGTTTTATATCTTTTTAGGCCATCCCTCTAAAACATAATGTACTACCTTTTTCAAAATGCGATCTTTATCTGTTGCATCACGTAACGCCTGTAAAGTTATCGGTATCGGGCCCTTGACAACGAAATTAATGTACGCTGCGCGATCGTCGATATCGGCGGTTCCCGTGTACCCCGCGTTCAAATCCCCGCCCGCGCCGCTATTTGCTGCAGCGGCGCACGGAAGGCTGGCACGCGATAAGTAGTCTGCGCTATTATCCGAACTCTTAAATATTCTATAGTATAATTATATCCGCTTAGAAATAAAGCATATCTCTGTAAACGGTTAGCAGATACCTCCGGAATTCCTTTATATGGCCCAAAAATTGATAATAACTGTTTGTGATCCATACGTAGGATAAAAGGTGTAGACCTACCATGTAAATATTGATGGTACCTCCGTGCCCAAATATTATAGCAGTTGCTTCTTTTTGTATTTGAGAATATTTTTTCTCGGCATTATTTAACGTCCGTGATGCAAAAGAGATTGGCTTCTCAATACCTGCACTATCTTTTTGCGATAATATTGCACCTAACCCGTTAGGTGACGCATCCACGGTTAGTATAATTTTTTCATTTGGATTAAAATGTGTTAAAACCTGTTCAGAGGATAAAAAAAAATTTATATTAATCGATCACTTCGTTTTCTATTTTAGACCATTTCCATTTTGTCCCCTTTTTTAATAATTCGTAGAGGAAGGATAGAATAGATGACGCGCTTGGAACGAAGCACCTGTAATAATTGACAAGGCCTAAAAACGTCGTCTTGTAATCTTTGTAGCACCTGGTGTAACCTTTCTAGGTGCTCGGATCGTTTCGGCCGGTTATTAGTATATCGTCAAGTAAAAAATGTACTCCATTTAACCCTGCTAGCACATATTCTATTGCACGCTGGAAAATAGCCGGGGCACAAGCCAGGCAGAACACTAAATGTGTATAAGAAAATAAATCTCGATGGGTTTGGTACAGGTTAGCTTTTGTGATTCGTTATTCAGGCAAAATTGATTATACGCCATTGAGAGGTCAAGCTTAGTAAAGTATTGGTGTAACTTAAAAAAAAGTTCACTAACTGTCGGCAATGGGTATTGGTCTACAACCAACTGCTTGTTTAGGCTAACAGAATAATCTGCACATATTCTGACAGAGCCATTGAGTTTTAATACGCGTACGATTGGGGATGCATAGTCCGAATAATTAACAAGACAAAGTACCCCTAGATCGACCAACCTCTTTTAGTTCGCTATCTACTTTGTCTCTTAAGGCGAAAGCAATAGGACGCGCCTTAAAAAACACTGGCTTAGCGTTCTCTTTCAATGTTAACTTAACTTCATATTTATCGAAGCACCCAAGCTCTCCCGAAAATACTTTAGGATAACGTATATAGAGCGTTTCAATGTCATTCTGTATTTGCTTACAATAATGTGCAATAAAATCCCTACCGAGCAGTGGCGGGTTATATGTTTTTTCAGATATCACAGTCACCGCCGATCAGCTATCGATTTGAAATTTTAAATCTATGCCGTTAACAGTAACGGTTTCCACTAAAGGCTCGCCCTTAACTGATCGTATATTAAATAGCACCTCACTCGTATTTACGTAGTTCACTTTTTGGCACATCCTACGCAAGTGTCCCTTCGTATTACACTTTTTACATTTGCAATTAGCGAAACGACACTCCGACGCACTGTGACTCGTATAACCGCATACCGCGCACTTTTGACGAGAACGCATGCACTTCGATTCCTGACCAATCTTGTATATCTGCTCCGTGGTGGTATCGGTAAGGACGGTAGTGGTGACGACGGCGCTGGCGACTATCACCCGCGCACTTCGTATGTTCTCCGCTAACTCCACAGCTTTTGCTAGTGTGATACCCGAAATATCCTGTGTATAATTTTTCTTTTTCCACTCCCGGCAGCATCCCCATAATAAATCGGTCCCTTAGTGCTTCCTCCAAATTGGAGAATTGGCAGCGAGCGCTTAGACCGCACAATCTAGCGGCCCACTGCGACGGTGACTCGGCGGGCTGTTGGGCAACGGCATAAAAATTGTGGCGCTAGCTAAATCCAACCCGCTTCGGTGTGAAATGAGTATCCAAAATGGTTAGGATATCCTCAAACGGGATTTGCTGGAGATCCTTTGGTACAGCGAGATCTGAGGCAAGCTTGAACGTACCGTCGGCGAATGTGCTGAGAATAATGGCTCGCCGTTTTACTCCCGCGACATCATTTGAGGCATTTATGTCATTTGCAATAAACCATTGTGTGATTCTGGTTCTAAATATCTTCCACGATTGCAATTCGTGGTTAAAAGTTGGAAGGGAACCACAGCTAAAAGACATTTTTTTTTAATTTAATATGTGGGTAAGAACTCGTCGCCAATGTTTAGTTCGCGATATGGAGTGCAGGAGACTAGTGACACACTTGACGACTGTCAACATACTGCTTTAATTACAAGCAATATTATCAACCGCGTACATACACAACAAGAACAAATTGGATAAAATCTCCAAACATTGAGACACACATGCATCAGCTTTTTAGCTGCTAGTGTGTTTATGTATAAATATAATAATAAAAAAGCATTTTTTTTTCAAATGTAAAGCAATCTAGACATTTTCCTCTGGTATTTTTTATACAATATTAATAAAACAAACCTTTCAGCAAAACAACCTGAGCATTTTTGCCCTCCTGTGAATACAAGTTGACATACTTTGTCTTCTTCTTTGATTTGGCCTCTGCTTCAGACATTTGGGATGGTTGCATCTCAGCACTGACAAAATCATGCTGCTGTTTGTTTTTCGAAATCTTTTTCTTCTGCTGTTTTGTTAGAGAATTACCTAAAATTTTTAAAAGAAAAAAGTAAACATTTAAAGAGTCCGCATAGGTTGATAGGTAGCTTTTAAAGCATAACGTTGTGGATAATGTCCTTTTTTGTAGGGAGACTGCCATAATTAACATGTAAGGCAGGAGGAGTGGCACTATCAGATGTCTCACCTTTTATACTGCTCCCCCTTGCCGGTTCAGGTTTTATTTTGTTTGGCTTAACCTATAGTTGCACTTTCTTTATTATAGTATTTTAATATTGTGTATAAGCTTTAAGTTAATTTTATAATACTGTAATTTTTGTTCAATATAGTAAAATTATACAAGAAAAAACATAAGTACATAAAAAAAAAGAAAGTCATGGAATGTTTTTTCAGAATTCCATTTGTTTATATTCCATTGTGAATTCTCAATAGAAAGACACAGATTTTGAAATTCACAGATTCCACAATGATAAAAATTTTGCCAACATTTGAATTTGAGTTTAACTTTAGGTTTTGTTTTAATTTTTGCCTTGACTGCCTTGTTTATCGTGTTAAGTGTCAATCATTACTACAAATAAACTAAGAATGTCAGATCTAAACGCCACTCAAGTTGCTAGGTCTGTTACTTTAATTGAAACTGAGCAATGAAAATGAACATGTGGCCAAAACATTACAAGTATCAAAATCTTGTATTACACTAAGTTGTCATGAGGCATCAGCAGACTGAGCAGTATACAAGATGCACAGGACAGGGACGTAAACAAAAAACTGTGCCTAGAGATGACCAGTTCCTCATTACCAGCATGCTAAAAAACTGAATTTGACTTCTTCCGAAGTAATAATGAAGCTCCAAGAAGTTCGAAGGGTTACAGTAAGCATAAATCTGTTAGAAAAACACTCAAATTGGCCAAATAAATTCACACTTTTACATGCAGAAAGAGGCCCCATTCTGTCCACATATAATCATATAGTTCAAGTTAATTGTGCTCATAATCACAGAAATTGGAATGACAATGCTTTGTGTCTGGTAGATCAGTATCAGTCAGTTATGGTATATCCATAAATGACTAATACTGATAAAACCCACCCCCGCTAATTTGAGAGATTGTAAATACGCATTACAATAAGAATTGCACACAATCTCAAAAGATTTAATTGATAACTTGTTTAGATGTATCCCAAGAAGACTAGAAGAAATTCAAAGAGCTAGAGGGGGCAACATGTAGTCTTTATAGCCTTTTCTAAGCATTTACGAAAAAAAAAGTTAAGTACAAAAATGTTTCATTCTTGTAAAATTTTTATTTAATCTGTCTTGTTCTTACGACGTTTGCAATTTCAAATAAAAGAATAATAAGCAAATAATCCAAATTGATGAACTAAATTGTCACAAATATCCTTGATATTTTGTTTTATACACAATGCATTACTTTAAATTTGTCCATGTTTGTGTTTTTTAATATATATATTTAAAAATGTGTGTACCTTTATTGGGAAACTTTTTTTTACATAGTTCTACAAAAAATGACTTATGTTGTGAATTATCAAAATCTAGTAGAGTTTTCATGTATTCATTTAAATCTGACTCATTCTCGATGGAATTAACATACCTGAAATTTAGAAAAATCAATCAATTATTACATAAACGTTGTTGTTAAAGTTTATTAATTTCATATAAAAAAAAGAAAAAAATACTTTATTAGATCTTCAGGAACTTCAAAGTCCAGGATTCTTGAAAGTCCTTCACTAATCCATTGATCCATTATGTAGACAGTTCTGTTCTCTCCAATATTATAGTAATATAATTATATCAGTCTTAAATGAAATCAGCTGAAGTCTTTGACTATGATGGAAAATGTGTAAACAAATGAAACAAATGTGGTAGCGATGGGTGTTGAATTTTCAGTTTATACAAAGGTACCATATATTACTTTCCTCTATGAAAGGTACTCTGTGGTGTTGAATCAACTAGTATTGGGAGGGAGACGAAATGAAAACAGTTCTACATTCTACATTTCATTCTCGGAACCATAGAGATATAATACCTATATACTTCTAAGTCAGTGCTCGGAACTGTCTCAATCGCAAAACGTTTACAAACTAGGCATGAGACAGATATATCAAAACGAAACCAATAACGTTATGTTTTTAAATATATCATCTCGATAAACCTAAGTACAAAACCGTTATCACATATCCAACAAAAACCATAACCTAACCAACGTACGAAAACGAAACCGAAACGCATAAGGCAAACTGTGGAACGATATCCCAAAACTGAAAACGGCCCACTAACCGATGACCTCCGTTGATATTCATCGCTTCTCGTTCTTGCAACGATAGTTTAAATAAGTATAGAAAGAGATGAAGCGAATATGGATATCGTTGCGATGTTTTGCTAGTTAATGCCGTGTCGTCGCAATGTGCACACAACGGTGCACATTGTTTTTTATATTTTGGATGGAAAGTTTAAAATTTGCTTTTTTCTAGAAAGCAACAATTACGCACTTGAGTCTTGGTGGCTCGTGTTCGTGCCATTTGCTAAGATACCTAATAACATCTATTAAGTTATTAATAATAAGCATATATTTGCGTTTATGCATTTATTTGCAATGTTCGTGTGTATTTTGTGCATTAGGTAGTTGTAATTCAGACAATTATGTGTAAAGTGTAAATATAATATAGCATAGTATAGTTTAAGTTGATTTAGACTTTTAATCATTTTTGAATGTAGACTTTCAAAATGTCGCGTAAAGCTAGTGAAATATGGTCTCACTTCGATAAAAAAGACAATTCCGACCACTTCTTCCACCGGAACCGAATCAACGGCTAGTGCAAATCAGGTAAACATGCGGTTAATGGAGTTGAATTTTGAAATTGAATTCAGAATTCGAATTTAAATCTTTTCTGCTAGAGTTAAGCCTAGTTAAGCATGAAGGAAAATCACCAACTTAAATAATTGTTTATAAATAAACTAACTAAAATAATTTTCTATAAATGTATATAAATTATGTTTACTTCTTAAGAAGCGACATAAAGAAACAAATTAGGAGATGGGCAGTAATTTTTTTTAGGTTTATGCCATCTGGTATCTATCCTACATACCACCTTGAGAGTCAATCAATGTTTGTTCGATAAAATATATTTACATATACAACATAGTAGATGACGCTATTACTGAAGTGCGCTCAGCTCAGTCTTACTAAAATAAATACGTGTACCTTGGTAACTGTCTTAAATAAAATTAATATAAGATTAGTATTTGAACAAAAACCGTTGTAATATTGTAATTGTACTACTATATACTTTATAGTATGTAATGCCCTGCGTTTGCGACTTGAATAATCGACCGAATGCCCAGTACGTACGTAGTGTTTACACCCACCACTTTTCGTCATACAAAAAGGTTGCGGATCAGCATTTCAATTTAGATTAAAGCTAAAACAAATCTTATTTACATCTATTCACAATTCAAATTTCGTTGCAGACAGTTGAACAAAAACGAACGGACCGAGAAAAAACGGTATTTTCGGCTTTCTCTTATTTTTTATGTAACGGTCAGCTTGGTCAAAACGTACGTCTTTTTTTTAAATTTAAAATCGGTTTCAGTTGTCAAGTAACGCTTGTCTACGCTTACTGTGTCAGCTAATTTCGAATTTGCAAAAAAGTAACTATGTTTACGCGCGAAAAGTGTATGTGATATATTGTATATATTAATTGTTTAATAGTTTTGTAATATATCGATAAAACCGATTTAATTTGTAAATATCTTTTGTTCTCAAACTTTTAAATACTGAACTTTTAAATACGCCAGTAACATTTATCAGCCAGTCCTAAGCCTGGAAAAAGTATGAAGGGAAGTTCGCTTTATTATTTTGTAAACAAACATATGGTGAAGTCGTTACGTACACTGGCGGGAATTTTTTTGAAAAACTGTTTTTTTTAAACTGTTTCTCATTTAAAAAAAAACGGTTTAGTTTCGTTTTACAAAAAACCTGGTACGACCCAGTACTAGAATCTACAACGAACTAGTTGAATCAACCGTTGAACCCAAAGGTTGAACCGTTGATCTGTCAACGTAACAACGTATTAACGTTTACCGTTTAGGAATGAACTAGTTGAATTCGTCAACGACGTTTATGAATTCAACTTGTGCGTCTCGTTCAATAAACGAGAACGCAAACGCAACTAGATGTGGGCGTTATTTCACGTCACAAGATACAGTAAATGGCTACGAGGCATGTAACCGAATCACTAGTTTCCGAGTCATGTTACAAGTAGTGATTTTTGTAAATGCGTGATTATGATTACTGTTAACCATAATTATTGCGGGAGTCGGCTGTCGGTCGGTCGAGCGCAAAGCGCACATGTGGCATACAACAATAAACAAAACATCGTAAGTAACAATATTATTGTGCTGAACGCGTATTAAATCATACGTAAGACTATGGACATAGACAATAAAATAGAGTAATCTCCGTTTGTAAATAATTTCAACGGTTTGCGATTCCGAGAAGCGAGTCACAATGAATTTAACTAAAATAATTTTTAAAACATTTTTGACGGATTCATGAACTCGTTTATTCATAAAATTAAAATAAAACTAAAAAATGTGTATAAAAAATTTAAAAATTTAAATGTTTATAATATTATAAAACTTAAAAACTGTGTAAATAGCCAATCAAACAAAGAAATTAATTGTACAGTGTAAATAAAAGTGCAAAAACCATTGAAGTAATATGTACTTACGTACTAAAACAGCTATTTTAAACAAAAAATGTGCGTTAATCTGCGTTTGCGCGGTTGTTTTTCTTATCATAGAATAAGATAGGTAGAATGATCCGTAGGTGGATTGTATTTTTAAATAGGTAAATTGTATCCAGAAAAATATTTAAATTTTGTCACTTATTTTGTATATTATATTTGCTTATTTAATATAATATATCACAAATACATTTTAATGACATTTTTATCTGAATATTTTAAAAGTTATCTATAGAATAAGATAGGTAGAATGATCCGTAGGTGGATTGTATTTTTAAATAGGTAAATTGTATCCAGAAAAATATTTAGATTTTGTCTTAAAATTGCTTATTTAATATAATATATCACAAATACATTTTAATGACTTTTTATCTGAATATTTTAAAAGTTATCTATGTCAATTATAAAAAAAATATACTAAATGTATGTTTAGGAAACTTGTTAACATAACATTTAATATTACAAATATATTTATTCAAATTAGAATAAGAGTCGTTTATAAATGCTGGGCACGTGAGAGTTAAAAATGGACGAATTTATTCCACTTTGACTTTGATGTGGAAACCTAAAAATAAAATAAAAGAATAATAAGCATATTTAAATATGAAAAATTTAGCCTAATTAAAATAACCTATACGACCCACGTCCAAACGCAATGGACTAAAACTTACGTTGAAAATACGTCATAGACTGCGAGTAGCTTGCTACATATTTATTTATCTATGACTGCGAGCGACAGTCAAGTCATGCAATTTGAACTCTAAGTAACGTATTAAAGAGTTGATTTTAGAAATATTTATTTTAAGAATAGTACTTATGTCGTCATAAGTACTATTGTTGAAAGCGAGTATATTGGCGGAATGGCGCGCCCCCCTCGTGCCGCTCGAGAAGAACAAGATAACATCGACCCATCGCCAAAATGTGGTGACATTGATCATAGATAAAATAAATGTAAACTCCATAGTCTCTAGCATGGAGACTAGAGAACAGGATAACGATCGCCGTAGAAAATAGTATCCCATAAATATGGACACCATAAGTGAGGCGCTGCGATCGCTAAGTTCGCTCAATAAAAGTCATTTTCAGTCTATTTTTCTGATCAGATGCTAAACCACTTGCACATTCACGCACAATAAAAATTTCGCTATTTTTTAATGTTTCTTTTTGTCAAAAACTAAAAAATTATGGAGCATGAAAATTTTCTCACCAATGCCGCGAAGAAAATTTGTACATTAACTAACTTCATCTACTTGTACTCATATTTTCAGTCTATTTTTCTGATCAGATGCTAAACCACTTGCACATTCACGCACAATAAAAATTTCGCCATTTTTTAATGTTTCTTTTTGTCAAAAATTAAACAATTACGGAGCATGAAAATTTTCTCACAAACACCACACACCACCAATGCCGCGAAGAAAATTTGTACATTAACTAACTTCATCTACTTGTACTCATAAACAGCTAAATTCGCAGTCACTACTCACCGACGTCAGCAGCGCTATAAATTCTACAATTTTCAAGGACAGGTGGGCTATGCTTTAAGTACGTAGCGATCGTTCTGTTCTTTAACCTCCATGATCTCTAGTAAATACATCTATGCTCTATAGATTGGCAACTTACCACCAACAAACGAGACTGAAAACCGATTGTTGTGTGTGTAGAATGTCAATGTTTGCGTTAATATTGTTGTATCGTAATTTATAGATACCGATCAAAATAAACGTAATATAAAATATGACTATATGAAAGATACTGTATGCACATATGTCATAATATAATATTCATTCCTATTTTATGCACAAGTTTTCAGATTGATAAGATTTCTAGAAAATGTATTAAACCGGGTTTTTTTTATACATATATTTTGTTAAATATCATCACGGCCAATTCATATTCCACTTTTAGTACGCTTATACGCCTATCTTACTATAAGCCAGATGGGTTAGTGGGACATAAGGATTAGTTTGAGTTTTCGGTCTTTTGTAATAATTCTATG